GAGAATAAAGAGGATGATACTTGGCAGTCAACTGAGCTACCTGGGACAGTTGTGAACAATCCCTTGGCTCATTTTGACTGGAGTATGACAGAGGAGGATGATGAATACATATTCTGCCCAGTAGAGCTACAAAGTTCAAAAGGGCAAGCTTTTACCATGTACAAACAGGTGGATAAGAAGATCCGGCCCGTCTCGACTACCTTTTCGCCCGACTATGAAGTTCGCAGACAAATTCCCACACCCCCACTGGAAACCTTACCAGACTTACCTACCCAACCACCTGACTTCGAACCATCAAAACGCATCACTACTGAACGATTGCCACTTTTAGAAGTCAACAAAGATGGCTTCATGCAACCAGAAGAGGAAAAATTGTTGCTACACATCCTAAGAGTCAATGAGGAGGCTTTGGCTTTTGAAGACTCTGAAAGAGGAACTTTCAAGGATGAATATTTTTCCCCATATAAAATGGCAACTGTTCCTCATATTCCCTGGGAATACAAGAATATTCCAATTCCCCCTGGAATTATGGATAAGGTCATTGAAGTTTTGAAGTTAAAGATTGAAGCTGGAGTATATGAGAGTTGCCAGTCTTCATATCGTTCTCGGTGGTTTTGTGTTATCAAGAAAAACGGGAAGTTAAGAATCGTTCATGATCTGCAACCATTGAATAAGGTGTCTATTAGAGATGCTACTATGTTGCCTATTGTGGATGATTTTGTGGAAGGATTTGCAGGAAGACAGTGTTATACTGTTTTTGATCTCTATTGGGGTTTTGATGCAAGAAGAATGGACCCAGAAAGCAGAGATATGACAGCTTTCATGTCACCCCTGGGACTACTTAGGTTAACCTCACTCCCAACTGGGTATACCAACTTACCAGCAGAATTCCAAAAGTGCATGCTATTCATCTTATCAGAGGAGATTCCACATAATGCTGGGGTTTTCATTGATGACTTGCCAATCAAGGGACCTGCTTCTACATACCCTGATGAGTTTGGACAACCCAAGTCAATACCAGATAATCCAGGAATACGTCAGTTTATTTGGGAACATGCTCAGGTAGTACATAGGATCATGCATAAAGTCAAATGTGCAGGAGCAACTTTCTCTGCAACTAAAGTACAGCTCTGCAGAAAACAAGCACTGATTATTGGTCAACTTTGTACTCCAGAAGGAAGAGTTCCAGATACGAAGAAAGTGTCTGCTATTCTAGACTGGCCAGCCCTAAAGTCACCCAAAGAAGTGCGGCAGTTCTTAGGATTATGCGGTACAGTACGGGTATGGATTGCCAACTATTCATCAATTATTCGCCCACTCACTGAATTATATCGACGGGATATTGACTTTGTATGGAATCAACGGCGGGCTGAGGCATTTGCAGAAATCAAACAATTAGTTGCCAGTGCTCCAGCTCTACATCCTATTTAGTATTGATTACCAAAGTCACAGGCTAGTCATATTGGCTGTTGATTCAAGTCGCATCGCCACTGGAATGATCTTGTATCAGGAAGATGAACAAGGACGCCGCCGCCCCGCTAGGTACGGGTCAATTCCCATGAGTGAGCGAGAGTCACGATATTCCCAACCCAAATTGGAAATTTTTGGTGTCTATCGAGCATTGCGAAAGTGGCGTCTCTATATAGTCGGCATTGAAAATTTCCAACTGGAGGTAGATGCACAATTCATTCGTGGCTTACTCAATAGCCCAGATTTGCAACCTGATGCGGCAGTAAATCGGTGGATTCAAGGAATCCTGATGTTTCAGTTCAACTTAGTCCATGTTCCAGCAACAAAGTTTGCAGGGCCAGATGCACTGTCACGCCATGGTTTAGCTGAAGGAGAAATAGCCGAAGATGATGATGATTCATGGCTTGATGAGATTGCTTTACTTGCTACAGAAGAGACCCAGGAATATATAGACTTGACACCTCCGGCTATGATTTTCGGTGCATCCCGCACTACTCAAGAAGATAACCTCCGCAACATTGACCGCTTTCTGCGAACATCGGAAGCACCAAGGCTTCCCGATAGTCAGAAGCATCGCCGATTCCTGTCCCAGGCTAGTCAATTCATGGTGCGGGAAGGGCGGCTCTATAAACGAAATCCCCGAGGTAATCCGCTAAGAGTAGTACTAGATGCCAAGGCACGGCTGCACATCTTAACACAAGCTCATGATGAAATGGGCCACAAAGGGACCCGAGCATTATGGGAGATCTTGCAGAAGCGCTTTTACTGGCCCAAGATGCGTAATGATATTCAGCATCACGTGGCATCTTGCCACACATGTCAAGTGCGAAGTACTAAGAGGATGGAAATTCCGCCTACTCCCTCAACTCCGGTTGCAATTTTCCAGAAAGTATATATTGACATTATGCGAATGCCACGTTCTGGGAAGTACCAGATGATTGTCGCGGCTCGTGACGATTTGACTGGGGTATGTGAAGCAAAGCCACTGGCCGCAGCTACAGCAGTCGCTCTCTCTCGTTTCTTCTGGACTCAGATATACTGCAGATATGGGTGCCCCAGACAAGTCGTAACAGACAATGGTCCTGAAGTTAAGGCGGGGTTTCAAGAGCTTATGAAACGCCTACTTATTCCCCATGTGCAAATATCACCATATAACAAACATGCCAACGGAGTAGTAGAACGAGGTCACTATACTCTCAGAGAAGCAATAGTGCGAAGCTGTGCAGGGAAAATCCGACAATGGCCCGAGAAGCTACCCCTCGCAATATTTGCTGATCGCATCACAGTCAGTCGAGTGACACGTGCATCCCCATATCAACTACTTCATGCCACCGATCCTGTCCTCCCATTTGACCTTGCAGAAGCTACGTTTCTGGTAGAAGGATTTCACGCAGGTATGACCACTGATGAGCTACTTGCACTTCGAATGTGTCAACTGGCCAAGCATGATGACGACATTGAGAATGCCGCTGCCATCCTACATAAATCAAGATTTACCTCGAAGGCGGATTTTGAGCGTAAGTTTCGGGCACGGCTGCAGACGGAAGATTACAAACCTGGTGCGCTGGTCTTAGTTCGCAATGTAGGGATTGAAATGGAAGTTAGCTCACGACGGAAAACTGATGATCGTTACTTTGGGCCCTACCAAGTCGTGCGGAAAACCAGAGGAGGTGCTTACAAGTTGGAAGAGCTTGACGGATCAGAATTATCCCAAACAGTGGCCGCATTTCGCCTGCTACCATACATAACACGAAAACACTGGTTTATGGTGCATGGATGGAAAGAAGAACCACAAACAAAGAAACACCAATCTGATTCAAGTTCGGGTGAGGACAATGATAGTGACTCAAGTGGTTCCAGCATGGAAGAACATTGATTTGGCAACCTGGGTGATGGTACCAACAGAAGACACTATATAAACTTTAGGCAACCACGACCCTTAGAGCCACTCCACTCTTCCTCCCACCATGTTCACAGAGGACGTACAGCAGACCGCCATGTTCGAAATGGAGCGCACGAAGGAAGAAAGAGACTGCAAGACAAGTGGACAAGGCCTCACGCCACCAGGTACGCTCTGTTCGGGGGAATTGGCACTACTCTCGGGCTCTCTTGCGACGCTACACGCACCACCCTCTGTCGAAACTACTACCCCAACACCATCCTCAGTCGTATTCCATGTCGAGGGCGACAGCGACAGCCTTCGTTCCCCGCGCCACATTTCGTATCAGCCCGCATTCTACCAAGTAAACACCTATTCGGGCCCTTCACCTCACTCTGCAAGCGAATTCCTGGCTGCTTCCACCTACAGCTTGGAGTATGTCCACACTGTGACGGGATACGACCGGTACATGACCCCTATTGCAACCCAAGCGCAGACCGCGACTCCAACCACCGATATCTCCTCTGCTTGGCGCCAACTCTTTTCACGCAAAGCTCGACGGGCTCTGCTATTCGGAGACGTCGAAGAACAGCGCAACAACTTGGAAGTTTTGCGTGTACGAGGCTTCAGACGGAGTGACCGCACCTGCGTCTTCATAGTCACGTCTCAGCCACGAGGGATTATTTCAGTGGGGCACCAGCTGTTCGCACCTTGAGCTGCCCTTCACAACGCTCCCGCGCTCTCCGGCCTAATCTCTCCTGCTCAACTCCTCGTTGCTCATGAAAACCGGCCGACAACGCCATTTGCAAGGCGCGCAGGCCCCCGCTGGACGCACACACAAGTGCGCGTGCTTGTATCGGGAGGCGAGCGCATCAGCGGGGAGGACATGGGAGGAGAAGCCAAGCTGCGTGTGCTTACGTGGCACCGGCGATCGGCACCCGGCGGCCGGCGAGTGACATCAATCTCTGCTGTCACCGCCCTTCACTTCTCTCTTCCGCTCCACGACGACGACGCACTTGGTATCGTGCTCTCCGCGACGTTGACGCCCCCCATAGCGCGGATGGCGGATCGGAAGCAACCCGGTGAATGTTACAGGCATTCTCAGTGCCCTTCAAATGCTGCGCCGGTTGTTTCTCACACAGTATACAGGGATGCGCGGTCTTACGCTCGTCTCTGGCTGGTGGACGTCGGGCGACAAGGAGGGGATGATAGGACAAGGGCACAATGTGCGCCCCCAATTTTAGGGCCCACCATCCCGCTCATTTCACACCTGCCTCTCTGACTCATAATTCTATAGCACGGCGTTTTCCACTTAACACTCTCAAACAATCCTATCACGCACTCCTCCCTCGGAGGCAAAACACCTCCAACTCTTTGCCTCCCCACCGGGACCACCGACAATCACTACCGACAATGCCCCTCCTGTGTAGTCGCTCTCCCGCGGGATGCCGACCATGACGGCGACTACGGCTGACTCAACCTCGTCTTGTTTCCCGACGGTAAACTCCCTGCTCGCCGAGCGATCTTTACATCTGCGAATCTACCCCAGCAGGCCGCCATTCCGCGACGGTCCCACCAGCGATCGCCAAACGGCCCAACGCATTGTCGCCGTCCAGGCGCCAACTATGCCACCGTGACATCACAGTCAACAATGGCGCTCTCCACCTTCCGGCGCGTGCCACTCGAGGTCGTCGAGCATATCGCCAACTATACCCTTGATTCCGTCCCTCCCTTCGGCTACAGCCCGCTGCTGGCCCTCATCAAGACCAGCCGCGTATGCCATGCCGCCGGTACGCGCGTTCTGTACCGCGCCATCCACATTGGGCCTTATTCTCCCGCCCCAATCCTCGAAACACTCGCAGCCAACGTTGACTATGCCAAACGAGTGCGCTCAGTTTGGTTGTTCGCGCCGCAGCGGTGCGTCGTCCAAGTTGTCCCGATTGCCATCGCCTAATCCTACCCAGCGATGTCGTCCCCGGGCACGGAGACGATTTCGAGAATCGTCTTCTCGAAGCCTTTGCGAACCTCACCCTCGTCCGCGCGCTTCACGTGGCACACGGCTGCGAAGACCTGCTGCTCGGACTTGCCACCATACCACTCCCCCTCCTCCGCGCTGTTCATTTCGACAAGTTCGGTCCACGCGCGGCCGCATTTATTGCTAATTATCCGCAACTCGAGTTTGTGGATATCGATTACACGCCGCGACACGCCCAGAACCTTCCTCTCCCCTTTCTCGCCAATCTGAGCGTCTTCCGCGGGGCGTGTTCACTCGCGGCCCTCCTCTGTCATGCCACCCAGCCACTTACACATCTTCAACTCACCGAAGAAGATGACAGCCATGGCGCCTCTCGCGTCTTCGCCTCCTTGGACCCTGTGTCTACCCTACGGGCTGTCTCAATCGACCACTTCTCGTGGGATCAAGAGCTCATGGGCGCTCTGTCACGCGCAGCACCGAACCTGATATCTATCGCCGTCGAAGTGCGGGATTGGCCAACGCACAAGGTACTGGAGGAGTCCTCGGATGATATCAGCGAGAGAGAGGTGCGTGTTCCATCGTAACTTCTTTTCCTCCTCCATTTCACAACGCCGCGCTGCTGCAGGCGTTCGTAGAGTCGGTGGCCTCTGCGCTCCCGACGATGCGACATCTGTTCCATGTCGATATCAACCACGCGCTCCATATGCCGGTTGATGGCGAGCTTCCGCGTGCCGGGGACAGCGCTGCACAGTTCCAAAAGCATATGCAGCAACTGGACTACGAAGCGGCATGGGTCCACCGCTGGGGCGCTGCAGCTCCTGTTCTTGGTGTTTGCACACTTCTCGCTGCGCGCTGGTGGCGATTAGAGGACAACACGTGGACTCCGATGACAATGTTTACAGATCCCGAAATGGCGGGCCACGTCTCCTCCTGGACGCGGGCCCGACGAACAGCAGCGGAGTTGATTCAGACCGCGGCTGCTGGTATCCGTCGCTGGGAGGAGATCAGAGTAGGAGCCTCAGATTTCGCTCGCCGGTTGAAGGGACTTCAGGCCTTGCAAGCGGCGAGTGGGCAGGATTTTGAAGTTCGATTTTGCGTCTAGTTATCGATGTCTTGGTACCATGAAATACATGCATATTTTGATAGCAGCGCGTGGAACCTTATTTTGGTGTCGAGCACTGGGGCCGCCGTGCCCAGCTAGGTCCTGCGGCACCTCCCCGGTTCTTGAGCCTGTCCATGTGAGTTGGCAGCGCCGAGGTTTGCGCCACGGCGGCGCTCGCGGGCGGGACCAGTGACGGGGACGGCCATGATGCGCCTTTTTACCGCCCTTCTCGGCAACGTCAGCGTTGGCAGAGCCACCGACAAGCGAGCCCTGTGTTGTGTCAGCGCAATGCAACAAATTGGAGGGAAACAGAAACGAACGTCACTGGGCTCGGGGGCTGCCAAGCCCTGTAGCGCGAAAAACATTGTGTAGATGAATTACTGGTGTGGTCGACCGGCAAATGAGTCATTGAAAGTCCCGCCATACATGAAGGGAAACGCACCGTTGGTCGCCTTTATACCTCTTCTACTACCTGCGCAGCCCCCCTAGCTTTGCCGCACCCCCTTTCAAACCGCGTATTACGCTGAATACGTAACCTGACCGGCTGCGAGAGGCATGAAGGGTGGAGGAGAAAAGGAAGGGGATTAGCATGATTGATGGCCATCCGGGTCGTCTGCCGGCTCAGCTGTCGACCATGTACGGCTGGACGCCCAAGTTCGCCATCTGGGAGCCAGAGCCAACTGACGGAGCGAAAAAAGCGAGTGCGATGGCGACAAGGGAGTTGGTGCAAGAGGTGCAACGGGTATAAGCGCAAAAAGAGGCAAAGGGAGTTCCATCTGGAGGGGCGCATGGGCAGGTAATAGGAGGGACGCGCAACATGTAGTTGAGGGCCGTATGGGCAATGAGCGAAAAGAGCGAGGGAATATGACGGGTAGCGTCAACGCAGCTGCTATTGAATATATTAAGAATATTATGAATATATTATGCCCTTCGTGGATCACTTGAATATGATTATGTTTGAATATATTATATTATATTATGACTATACTATATTATAGTCACAGAATATTCAACTACAGTAAGGGGGATGATTACAGCTACTTTCTCAGTCCATGTACTCAGTCATAGTACTAATCTTAGTCTGAGTTAGCCCTACTTCTGATAAATGTCACATATTATCTATTATAGAGGGTGATTCATACATTACTCTTAGTAGGAACAAGTGTCAGGAGCTGATCAAGTGTCTACTAGCTAACCTAATACTAGTGGCAATGCCCCTGATTGTATTTTGAGAGTCCTATGTAACCCAGGGAGGCCCAACTTGAAAAGGAAGTTGCCCCGACAATCCAGCATGTATTTTATATTTTTGATTCTGTTTTCTAGCAGCAAATATGTCAAACATATCAAGAGATATGCATACTAGATTATAGTTCAATATATTCATAACATATTCATATTTTGCAGCTGAATATGATTATATTATACTACAAATATATTATTGGGTTGAAGCTCTGAATATGATATGATTATAATATATTATGCCCATAAAATAATATAATCATATTTGGCCAGCACTAGTGCATTGCACTTCCAGTGCAATGCACTAGTCGGCGGTGTGGATGATTTTCATCTTAAAAAGTCATCCCCATTTCAATTGAAAATCATTGTACTTCCCAATGAGATTGACCGAGTTTTTGTGAAAATCATAGACTAGAATTTCATACATTTAGTGCGAGTATATACAAGAATAGTAGGACTGGGACTCGCACAGTAGGACTCAGTCCTACTTTGATGGTCCCAGTCCTACTCCGGGCTAAGACAGTGGGACTCACGGTGATCAACACAACCGCCAATTTGTTGGACTGTGATAATGTTTACTTGTTCACTCGCTCATTAATATACATTGCATAGCCCGGAAATGCCTCCCCGAATCTCTCCGGGATCTGCCTCGCCGCCTCACGAGCCGATGGGTATGTGACTCCGTCGATCTCACAGCCCCAGTTGATCAATGGATCCTTCGTGCCGGTCTTGGCTCGCTTGGGTACAGCCACACTCGGGGGCAAATCATCGTCAGCCCTGCGTTTGGCTCGGGATTTGCCCTTGTACGTCGACTGTCAGACTGGATCACTGTCTGGACTCTATGAATATACATGTATAGTGGAGAGGGGTTTGCATACAGGGTTAATCGGTGCGCTGACCGCGGCCGGCCCGGCGCCCGGCTGGGCGGGAACCACAGGTAACTGAGAAATAGTGTTGCTTCCGGACAGCGGAGTAGCCTGAGGTGGAGCAACGGCCTAGGTTGACATGAGTCAAGCTGGAGGAGTGACGAGAGTAGTGGGACTGGGACTCGCACAATGGGATCTAGTCCCACTTTGATGGCCCCAGTCCCACTCTCGCGGCGCCGAGAACACTTAGCCGAGCGCTAAGAAGACAATGTGAATCAAATATCAATCAGAAAAAGATGGATTACGCACCGCGCAGCGGGCCTACGCGGCGAGCGGCAGCCCGCGGCAGCGTGGGGTCCGGGGCAAAGCCCTGGTCGGGGTCCGGGGTGGAAAACCCCGGCCGTCGCGGCCGGCGCCGCCACCCCGTTGAATATGATGATTACACAGTTAAAACAGAGGAAAAGACAGCCGGAAGGAGATCCCACGCTCCGCGCAGCGGGCCCCGCGGCGAGCAGAAGCCCCCGGCAGGGTGGGTCCAGGGCAAAGCCCTGGTCGGGGTCCGGGGTGGAAAACCCCGGCCGTCGCGGCCGGCGCCGCAACCCAGTTGATGCGACATGCGTCGATCCATCAACTCGGGTGATCTGTCGTAACCGAGTCCCACTCCGGGACCTCGGAAATGGGACTGGGACCAGGAAAAGTGGGACTCGAGTCCCATTGTACCAGTCCCAGTCCCATTACTCTCGTATATACTCATCAAGCTGCACTGAAGCATACAATCCACGTACCATGGCATCTAATGCAGACGGCCCGTTGGCCACTAAATCTGGTCGGATCATCGGCGGATCGAATGGTGCCATTGCTAGGTCAATCTCCGCTGCTGAAGTCGAATATATCAGCGCCATTCAGAACTAAAACAGGTGAGATAGAAAAAACAGATGACACAAGCTTACCTCCGGGCGGAGGTGGCTCGAGCGCAGGGTCGAGAGGAACCGGCGCCCGGCAGCGTTGACACAAAGTCTTCGGGCATATTTAGCCGGGGCATAAAGTCGGCGTTGAAGTCATGTCCGTCGTCAGTATCAGGCGCCGGGCCAGCCATCTCGGAAAGGAATTCTGCTCCAATAGAATCACTCGGAGTGGCTATCACGATGAGGGTGTCAGCGACCACTCAGACACAAGGTTTCAAAACGAGACACACCACTGGAGTTGCTTGTGACCGCCCGACGACCACCAATTTGAACTCCTTTGAGTGGCCCTGCCCGGAGTTCCTTCAATTCCGCGTCGATAACAAGCCTACGCGCCGTCCAATCCCGTCGGGCCTGCTTCTCGGCCGCAATTTCGCTCCGCAGAACCTTGATCTCATGTTTCAAATCGTCTCGCCGCTTGTCCACCGCAATCTGCTCCTGAAGCTCTGCAATATCCTGCTGCAGCTGCCGCTCCCGTGCTATCGATAGCTTCGACTCCTCCTGCCCATCCTTGCGCTCTTCCGTTAAGTCGTCAAAAGCACGGAGGTGCTCGTTTCGGGTCGTACGCTTGATGTGCTCCCCATTCGCGCCTCTGAGCAGCCAACTTCTCACGCTCCGCGGGGCCATTCCAGCGTTTGCGCATGACACCATCCCGAGCAATTTGTCGGAGCCGATCGACTTGCGCGTTGTCGCGAGCCTTCTTCCTGGTCAAATATTAGCATTGCTTCAATGTTAAATCATAATCACATACTTTAGGATGCCTGGTAAGAGCGCTAAGCGAATTGACGTCTCAGCGTTCATGCCCGCATGCGCACTTTCTGCCAGATTGGTTGTACTCGGAGTGATGCGGTGGTCATCTAGCGATATCTTCGACAGAAAAGAGTTGATCGAAGGCAGATACCATGGGTTTGCCACTTTTTGTGCATACCAGTCTTTGAATTTGTGAGTACCCTATCTGTTAGTTGACATAGAACACAATATCACATACTTTTCACCGCTGGAATCGTTTGCATCGACAAAACTGATGCCATTCATCAATTTCATCGTCCGAGGCAAGACCAAGGATGGACTTGAGCCGAGAAATGATATCATGCGGGACATTTGCACGCGAAAGCTCGTTGATATGGTTGATTGGGGCCATTTGAGCATGAAAGTGTCAATAGTAGAATGATACGCACCGCTGAAAATGTATTGTACACGTCTTGAGGCAGTAAAGAATGAGTTTAAGTGGATCTGCCTCGTTGATACCACTAATGGAGGGTGCGTTGTACCGAGTTAAGAAGTCGCCAAGGCCCTGTGCTTGAGCCACCTCACCGTCCATGATGATCACTCGACACGCAGCATCGGGAAAAAATGGACGTAGACGAAAAGGCCGGGCCGTGACACGAGAGATTGTGTCGAAGAACTCGGAGAAAAGTTGGGCATATGAAGGGCGGGTCTTGCGGTCACAGTAGAGAGTCGCAAAGACGATGCCTTGGTACCAGTCAGACCTTGTGACGAAACCCAAGGGACTTGATGCACTCACGGCACTTGTACCGATCGGAAAATCCAACAACCTCCCATTCGTCGAAGCTCCCCTCCACGCGCTTGAATGTATAATCGATGGCAATGGCCAAAACACTATGGATATAGTGGGCGAGCTGGGGATGCATTGTTACCACAATATTGTAGTCGGCCCTTGAAATCGCCGCATGAACGTAGCGCTCTGAAATGGGGACCTCGTCTTCTTTTGTAGATATATAATGAAGCACGCCTGAATACAATCAGAGGCAGTTGAGCGAGATCAACAAAGAACCGCCTACCTTCCCACCCAGTTCCACGCGGAAACTCCTCTTTACGGCGCTCCGCAATTCGATCCCGGACTTTCCGGACATCGGCAAATGCCGGACTAACCTCGCTGACTTGCTTTCCCCCATACAATGCGACAGTCGAT